TTCCAGCAGCATGGTGCAAATGTGGTTGACAAGGATGTCCCAGTTTTTGAACCTCGACAAAGTCATCCAGGTTTCATTTGCAGAGTACCACAGCAAGCGGAATTTTGTAGAAAGGGTCCACCCACAAGTTAACAAAGCTCTTTCAGCTCATGGTGTATTTTCGAGTCACAAAAAGCAACCGGATGCAAAAGATCCTGGGACACCTGAACATGAAGTGTGTGAAATGGGCGAAGTTTGGAGGAAGGTATATTGAGACGCAAAGGGGCCTCAAGGAAAAAGATTGGATTTTCGATGACGGAGCAAACCTCCAAAGGTTTCTGTCGATGTCAATTTGGCAAGGAAACCTGTGGGATGACGTACAAGGCAAGGAGAACTCCGTTAGCAAGGAAACTTTGTGAAGTGTGGGGCATTGATTCAAATTTCAACGTTGTAGTATTTCGTAAAGATGGCAGTTGTCTTGGAATTCCCTTGAAGCTATTCCATCGGCAGCCCCTTCCGGATTACCTGCGTTGGCTTGCAAGTGGAGGAGAGCCTCAATACTTACCGTATGAATTGAGGTCTTCCCTGCAAAGCGGAGTGTGGGACTCCGTTCCCGGCTCTTATCTACCAAGTCATGTTTTGGATTTGGCCTATGTGCTCCTTCCTAAACCAAACGGATATCTGCTTCGTTTTCTCGCATTACTATGTTGGTGACTGAAGATGAGGTCTCTAAATTCTACGAGGAGAAAGATAATAATATGAGAAAGGCAATTCTCGACGCAACGCGACGGGAGCAATGGAAAGAACACAGATGGTACCATGAAAGAAAAGAAAGCCTTGAGAGAATGTGCAGAGACGTTGGCGTTGAACCATACGCTCTGAAACATGACATGGTAGAGAGGTTAGCTGTGGTCTCCAGTCCGTTTTAGCTCACCATAGTCTACCTGCTTGTGCATGGAACAAAGGATGATCTAATACTTCGCGTCACCCTGATTGCAAACAACCGAAAATATCTTTGCTTTAACAGGGAATACAAAATGTTCCTTGAGTTAAATTTCACTCACCAAAGAACTAATATTACAGGAAAGAAAGCAAGCGTTATTAGCAGACTATCATCATATATACAGGCGAAGAACATTCTCCACTCCTTTAGAGCCTTCCCTCTTGTCACATCGCCGGAGATACCATGCAGCAGTTCAAACAGAAGTCTCTGCCAAGGCTCGTATTGATGTATCTCCTGAAACTACCGTTGAAAATCTCCATGAAATTTTTCAGGATCTCGCTCAAGCAATTATAGAACAGAAGGAAAACTTAAAAAGTAGAAAGGAAGGAAAGGAGATGTCCCTTAAGGAAAGTAAGGAGACGGAATAACGAATGAGGATACATGCAGCAGAGTCAGTTCAGCAAGTATTCTTCAAAAGGGAGCAAAGGTATTTTCACTCAATAATAATTTACCACTACTGTATCTTTAACATCACAATAACATCACGTTAGCATCACCAGCAGGTTTTTTAATTATCCGTGAAGATGGTTTGTTTCCAAGGAATGAGTACGCATCAATCTTCGTTGTTTTTGCTTGATTGGCTTTAAAGGCATATAAACATAAACCTCTAAACACAATTAGTAAGCATCAAGTAGACTTGAAAATAGAATTTATCTTTCGACCACGAAAGATAAAAAGTTTCAAGTTCAACGCAGATAAGAGATCTAATAGACTGAATAATCTTTAAGATCACACTTTCTAAGGCTACCCCGAACCCTAACTATAGCAATCTAGTTTTGTGATACAATTGAAAGAATAACTTACAGTATCCCGAATATAATGTTCTTATATGGCATTTAAATAAAAAGGTGAAAGTATTTTGGAGAGCACAAGATGTTGAGGATACTGGCTGGCATGAGGGTTGCTACATAGCAATTGTAAAGGATGTCATCGAAAACCAAGAGGAAACAGCTAAAATTGCATATGTAGTAGAGCCATCTGCAACCTATGACATTTCCGTAAAAGAGCTCCTGGAGGAAGGAATGATAAAGCTTTATGAGGGAGATGAGATCAAGCAATTCTACGAAGTTGGTGCGAGGGTGAATATTAAGTGGACTAAAGAAGAAATTGGCGGCACAAAATGGAGGCCTGGATGGTATGTTGGAGAGGTACAAGAATCAGATCCTGAACAAGATGAAATAACAGTTCAGTTTGATGCAGAACTTGAGGCAACTTATATTTACGAAGTTACACCATCTTTGACTGAAGGCAAACTTAGAATGGTGAAGTCAGTATTTTAGGGGTGAGGTGAATCTGGCAAATGTTCCCTTTAAAATCCTGGGTGTCACATGTCCACTTCAAAAGTAACTATGGCATGCAAATTTAAGGTTACAAATATCAAATTTTGGTGAAAATGTTAGTTCGGCTAAGATACATCTGTCTTCTCCAAAATGTTCAATTTGTGTAAATGGTAAAAGAGAAAGGGGCAACTCTTATCTGTACAAGCAGTTTATTGCCTTTGTCAGGTATGTATAGATTAAAAAAAGAAAAGGCTAACACCCATTTTCTAAAAATGTTGCAATTTGAAATAAATATTTTAAAAAATAGCCGTTTCTCTTCTCCTCCAAAAGGCAATGCACCATGATGCAGGTATCATTAACTTAAAAGGAAAGATAACATAATTTACCCTGTCAATGTAAACAGAAGAGGTGTACATAATAAGCTATATTTTCGACGGATTTGATGGGACCCTAGATAAACTGAACTCCCGGGGAGTATGAAGTACCCTTGACAGAAATTCTCACGATTAGTTTCTGAAGGAGGTTCAATTGCTTAGCTTGATTAAGCTACATAGAATTCTGAAGGGGGTATTTCAGGCAATTCTGAAGGGGGTTAAAAAATTTCTCTTCCGGAGGGGTGTTACAGGAAAGCCTTCAATGTGTGGGAGGGGGGAGGGGGGAGGTGCAGATTTTAAATGGAATGGCCCTATCGTCGTTTCAATTCCAAACCCAGCCGCGCTTCCCGGTCCAGGAAGAGGTTGTTCGTCTTCTGAATCCACAGTTTGTCGAAGAGCAAGTGCTTGTGATATAGAGGAGGAGGTTTCGTGTCCATGCGTTGTCTTTATCTCGTCGCTAGCATCTTGATTTGTTGCGTCCTTAACAGCTCGAATCTTTGAGAGAACTCGCAGATTTATTTCTTCGGCTACTTCAATTTCCGATTCGATTTCGTCCGTCCACGTTACGAACTTCAATAATTTCTTCATCGAGAGATTTCACTAAGTCGAGTTTTGCGCCTAATAATTCCACGATAACTTGCAGGCGTGGCGTGTCCAATTCATCTTGTTGCAAGAGATCATCTGCTTCATTCATAAGTTTGGTTAACACAGCTCGATTGCCGCTGCGCTTGGCGCGGGTTCGCGGTAATTCCTCTGACATACTTGGTTGCGCTATCACTGCCCCACGTTGGGCGCCATTTCATAAATCCGTATGATGCACGATCCTCGCAGTAGACAGCGCTATTTATGCAATAGCGAAAATCAGACCTGAAAAAAATCAGGCCTGTATGATTTTCGCTATTGCATAAATAGCGCTGTCTACTGCGACGATCGTGCATCATACGTATCTAATACCGCAGTTCAAAATATATGAACTTCATATATTCATTGCATCTCATTTATCACTTTCACGGGTTTATTACGAATCAACTTAACGGCCTGCTCCCAGTTGGCTTGTTAGCTCAATTGGTAGAGCGCTGCACTAGTATCGCAGAGGTCAGTGGTTCGAGTCCCGTACAGGCCTGATTTTTTTCAGGTCTGATTTTCGCTATTGCATAAATAGCGCTGTCTACTGCGACGATCGTGCATCATACGTATCTAATACCGCAGTTCAAAATATATGAACTTCATATATTCATTGTATCTCACTTCATAAATCGTTTCATACTCTCCAAAACGTACTCGCTTTTCATCAACAGCCGAACTTTAATAAAACACACACACACACACACACAAAAAAAAATTCATACAGGATTAAATAATTGAAGCTATCTTGTCACCCGCGGTGAGAATCATGTGATATACGCTGTCAATAATTCTTACCTACTCTAACCAAAACAACGCCAAATGAACTACTGCTAATATATCTAGCGAATGCTCGAGTACTCATCGATTATTTCTTCCCGGAAGATCTTTTCTGAAAAAGTCGAAGTTTACACACAATCGGCATTAAAGAGCGCTAAAGCATTGAAGTATATGACGGCATAGTCCCGTCGGTTCTCTTAGAATACGTGAAATGCTTACAAATACGCAACGAATCCAAGTAAATATACAACTGCGATTGACAACACTGCTGCTTACCTTTTGATACAGTGTCAACATATTTTATAAGGCTGTTGTTATAGGTTAGGGTCACGTTCCCCTGTGAATTGGAAATACGATCAAAGAGAGATCGAATATTATCGTACTCTGTTCGAGTTTTCGCTTAAAAAATGAATTTTCAAACTGTGATGGAAAGAGAAGTAGAGGACAATTGTAACTTTGGAATATTACAACATCCTGAATTAATTTTTAATATTTCTATAATTTTTTTTTGTGTGTGCGTCTCGCATTTTTCTGTATCGATTGTGTTTTCTGTTTGTTGTCCGATTGTTTATGTTTCATTTCAAACCTTTTTGTCCTCCACGGTGACAAAATTGTTGCGTTGAATAGGATCAAATGAATGAAGTTTGCAATCAAAATTAGTGAGACACTTTTACGGCCAATCAACAAGTTTACAAACAATAAACCGCACTTTCTTCTTACGTCAGCAACAAAACCAAATTAGTTGAGCGGCTGTGTCTTCGAAAGTGTCTGAAAATTCATCAAATCGCAAATGCGGGTCAACATAATTTAGATTTTGCATCGCTGAATGCTAAGTGCCAGAGAGTCAATATATTTTTTAAAGCAGTACCAATATGTCGCCAGTTTGCATGAGTTAGAATCATTAGAGAAGGGAGCCCATCATTTGTTTTGGCTGGCTGGTCACGGATAATATAATGGCTCATCGTCATTGTTTAGTTACTACGTAAGCCAGCGGGTCAAGGCACCTTGGGTCGGTCTATTTTACATAAAAATTTTTTCCGCTCAAATGACAAGTTTCAAGTCAACCTTTTCAAATGCGATGACGCGCTGAAGATCTGGTTAGCAGAAATGAACTTCCTTGTTTTGGGCCATTCGAGGCACTCATATCTAAATTATGTGAGGTTAGTGATTGAGTGTTTGAAATTCAGTTTTGATCGGTATCTCAACAAACTTCGGTGTTGATGCAATGTGATTTGCGTGATATTGCATGTGAATGTTGCGCTGCAATGCGAAGTGCGTTAAATTTACAGGAAATTTATTTCGCAGTGGAACATTTTACAGATCATCGTATCTTGTTTCAGTGATTCAGTTCCTGCCACAGACAGATTAAATTCAGGCGCTCATGTGCCCTAAAATGGGAATTCATATACCGGAAATCGACTTTGGCGTTGCTAGTATAAATATAATTTCTTTTCCCAACTAGCATTTTGAACTCACTAAATTAGTGTTACAACACTGTATTTTCAGCTGTGCCGCGAACTGAAAGGCTAATCTGGTATGATCAACACCTCACAGAAAACTTCTTGATCGACAAACAACGTGCTTGGGCTTTCTTGAAGTGATATTTGAAGCGTATGTCAAACTGAATAATACAGCAGGGTATCAAAGCGATACCTCAGTAGAAACCATTGTGAGGCCGTTTAGCGAGTTAATTTTCTACAAATGGCAGATGTGGAATTAGCTAATGCTTCAAATGGAACAACAGCGCGTTGGCGAGCCCTGGCAAGTAACGGATCGGCTGGAAACACTGCCATTACAACAAAACAATCATCACTAAGCAAGAATTCTTCAACGTTAGACATCCATGAACCCGTCGCTGATGCAAAGGATTATTCGGTCGACATAGGTCTAATTCAGCGAAGGACATACCTGTTATCAGCGGGCATTGGGGACACGAATAAAGTTTTTAATCGCATCAAGGGATGGTTAGGATTGATAATATGGGCCTTGAATGTTATTATTCACTTTGGACTAGACTTCTACGAGGCAGTGTTTGTCTTTGAAGTGTCGTGGGCGACGTGTATTGGAGTGTTCTTAGTAACTCTTCTGGCTTGTTGTTACTCGATGATAAAACATTCAGTGCCTTGGTTTATTAAAGGAGTGAAAAAACTCAAGAAAGACGGACACTATCCGAAAACTCTACGACGTGTTTACCTTATATTCAGGGTAAGTATGTGCCTATTAACGCTTCCTTTCTAATCCCTTACTGTTTGTAGATTTCGAAATGAAAATGAGTTGATTTCTTCTTTTTCACGTTTCTGTTCTCTAACGTTTTTGTGGCGTGCGGGCGGTCGATAGATTTCATTTTGTGATCAGACCCCTAAAGCTTTCCATTATTCGCGCTAAACCGCCGCCATTACCTACAAATTTATTACTCATTCATATCGGACTGTTCTCGCCTTTACAAGATTAAACAAGATTACGCTCCTTCGCAGTGGATTTCTAGAAAGGAAAATGCTGTATAACTCAGGCCTGTCAATCATTCAAATGTTGACAGAATCCTTAGTTTGTTGCGCGTTTTTCTTATTTTTGATTTCGGAAACAAATTCTTGCCATGAAATATTTGCGACGCCACATGAGACGAAAACATGTGACCCTAATGGACTATCATAAAGATTTTGGCAGCAATTAATCTTTTAGTGCAGTAATGTTTCTCTTTGTATAGGGAAGTCGGAGGTCACTGGTTATTTTGGTTACTATTCTTGTAAAAAGATTTTAAAGTTGTTCCGCAAAAGTAACAGTTTGCTCTCAAGAAATATGCTACCAGATTAGCAACGAGACACTTGTTACTGTGGCGCGGGTATGTCTCGCAGTTGCCAGTATTTTGTTGATCTTAGTTTCAAAGATCACCCGCGGCTTTGCATGAAAAATCATTCTTAAAATACCATAGAGTCCACTTAATGAATATTTTCAATGATTAAGTATCGCCCCTAGTGGCATGTAATAAGGAATTGGCTTTGAATAGTTATAATTCAGGTTAAAAAAAGATAATTTTTAGATTACAAAATTTCTTTACCTTTGTATAGATAAGGAGAGGGCCTTTTGGTTTTTCTTGAAATCAATATCAATGTTTTTCTTCTGATCTTTAATCTTGTTTTATGTTTTATTTTCTTAAATCTAGTAACATCAATCTCAAGTGTCGTGTTCTTTATTTGAATCGTGTATCAAAGTGAACTGTATGTGCCAAATTAATGAAACGGGAGGTCAAATTTGTTTTCGGTTTTGATTAAAAATGCAAATGAGTAATTTGGACGTATCGTGCAGAAGTTTTAACGTAACTATGGTTACCGTTAAGTCTCAAACGCGAGGTGTCAAACTGAGAGAAAAGGAGATAAGATGAGCAACCAATTACTTACTGCCCTTTTATGTTAATATCCAATGTTTTGTCTGAGAGGTACCATTTTCATTGCGAAATTTATACTTCGGAGATAAAACGGCAAAGGGTACCTTAATTTCAAAGTTGGAACACTGATAACAGTGATAACATTGATAACACAGATTTGATGTAACTTCCTCTTCCTGAGTTTTTACCATAATCAGCAGAGAATCTTACAGCTAAATAGCCCTTAGTCGAGAAAATTGCAGATTTCTAGAGAGGTAAACAAATTCCAACCGGAAGAAATCTGAAATCGTTTTGAGAATATATTCGCTATCTTTCTCGGTTTTGACTCGAAATAAAATATGGCGTGACGCAAAGGTTCAATAGGCCAGCCAGTAATTTTGAATTTCAAACATTGCATGTGATGAGAGAACTCGCCTCCAGCCGCTGTAGGCTGGGTTCGATTCCCAGACCTAGCTTTACATTTGGGTTGAATTTGTTGTTGGTTAATATCCGGGTTTTTTTTTTCTTTCCATTTCTCCAATTTTGTCCTCTCCACAAAACCAACAAGTTATAACTTGGCCTTGCTGAATGTATCCCTACAAACGAGTTCGTAAACTCAATGGCACTAGGTGAATGAAAAAATGACAGTAGCATAACATACCTTAGACGTTCATATAAAAGCACTACGCATGTCTGTGTCGTCATATTACTCTTTGGACTGCTCCTCTATCTACTTTGAAGATTATTTTTCCGCGCGATGATCATCTGATCTGTGCTACGATATTGGAGAAAGATCTATTCTTGAAAGCACTAGCTAGAGAAATCCCGAGAAGTTCTTATGTCAGACACAAATCCCCTGAAGTATCCACCCTGATTAGAAGTACTTGGCTGTAGAATGAAAAACATCTCACTAGGGCGCGATAGTCATTTCATTGTGTTCGCTAGATTAAGAAACGAGTCTATTCAAGCTTGAACTAGAATCACAATCAGTTCTTCCCTCAAGAAAGATACAAACAAATCTGTACCTCCTTCGTGCAGAAGTAAAAAAAAAAAAAAACATCTCACCGAGGCGAAATAAAAGCTGGGTGAACATTTTGGTTCCCAAGACCCGATCGTAGCTATGACAAATATTTATGAACTTTGATGAGAGAATTCAAAGTACCGGTATATCACTTTTTTATCATTACAACCTCCTCTATCCCATAAGTTTTGAATTTTTTTTCATAACTTGATAATTTGATGGTGTTCACTCGTTGTCTATAAACCCTAGTTACGGCTTAGTTTGCCAGATCGAAGCCTGGGTTCGACTTAAATTTGATTTTATCCCATCCTTGAGACAAATGTCTTTAAAACATCTTCATCAAATCATTATCTTTTTTGTCTTTTTCCTTAGTTCATGCCAATCGTTGTGGTCATGTTTGCGATGGGAGCCGCCATGGGACAGTTTGGTTGTTATGCATACGATGGAGCACTTAGACTAAGCTTCTCTAAGCTTTCTAATCAGACAGGAGTGGAAATACCAATGGGGATTGATGTGCTCTTCAACATCCTCAGAGCGACAAGCCTGTTCCATATCTTCTATGGCTTCTGTCTGATTCTTGTGTTTCACATGAGTTTAATCTTCATGCTTCAAAGCTCCATGCGTGAATTCAATGGTATGTTAGAATTCAATGGTATGTTAGTACAGTGTAGGGTGCAGGGGGCGGAGCCAAGGTTTTTCACGATAAGTGGGATGGAGCATAAAGAATACAAATTGGGTATCAAACAGCTGCGCTGTTTTAGAGGGGCTAGAGGAGCCAAGCGTTCCACATCCCTCCCCGACTCCATTTGCGGCTATAGTGTGGATGTAGTGCTCAAATCAGATCTTCCATAAAATGTTATTTTGTCCAAACGCACTCTGATAAAAGTTAGGGATTTCACAAGAAGCGAGAGTGCTTACGATATATGTGATATTTCTATTCTGAACCTATACATACAGACTGTATCTCCTGATATAAATAAATCAGCTATTTTCTTAAAAAAAATGACCTCGACATTCTCTTCACTCTTTTCCTTTCCTTTCATGGTAACCGTTTCAAATTTTAGTTCTCTTAATCGATTGACTGAACGAAGTACGATTTCCAACTGTAAAGGGAAAATATTAATTTTGTTTAGCTAAACTTCTGACTGACTTGTTTTTTTTTTTTTTTTGACGCTACGGTTCATTTGGGGCCATAACTGCTTATGGGGTAAAAATAAAATGTGGCTTTCGGTTTTTTTTTACAGATCGTATGGGTAAACTCTTTCGTGAAAACCCAATTCAAATCGCTTTTCCTGAAGCTGTCAATCTATTCTCTGCTAGAGCAAAATTTGTCCGTGAAGGAAGTCAAAAGAGCACGGTAAGATCGCATCGTCTAACGATATTCATTGTAGACATATTTCCTGTATATGATGGTAGACAACGGAACTTTGCCTCGGTAATCATCTTTCAAAGATCTGTAAGAAGGTAAATGATGAATACAAAAGTACAAATGATATGCCATTCGCCGTTATGGCAGCAAGTTACTAACGCATTTTTACATGGTATTGATAGTACTGCACTTTTCATTCAGCTCACTCAGCCATGTGGCATTTTTAATCTTGATTTAGCTCAGCTATAGGGCATTTTTAATCTTGATTTAACTCTGCTATATGGCATTTTTCCTATTTTAGCATTTCTAGTCGCCACAGTGTTGTCTTGAATTTCAGTTGTGGTAATTATTTGCTGCAAATGTGTCTGTACTTAAGAATCAAGCCTATTCAATTTATCAGGGGTATCTTTACGATCCATTGATTGTAAATTAGGGAGGCCAATATTCTTTATTACCAGATCAGTTGTTCGAAAACAATAGTCATTATGATAATGGCCGCCTGAAGGCGGAACTCCATAGACGAATGGATAAGAATATTTTCTTTCTTTAATGAACCAACTAAGGCAATATAAGAGTTCGTATTCAACACACTGCTTATTATTCTCTAAGAACACAATAGCCTTTCTTCTCAGAGAAATTCATCATGCGCTTTTAAACATGTCGAGGACCCCAGGAAGGCTGAGTCACCTGCATTAAAAAAAAAGAGATTTCTTTCGCTGTTTATGTAAGAGACTAGTTTCGTGCCCAGACCTTTCCACGGCTAAGTGGTTGTAAGGTCCCACATTTCGGTCACAATTACACGGTAGAATCTGGGTACGAGAAACTTCTCTGTTCCTCTTTTACAATTCTTAGCCATATGTCATCTTTTCATTTTACAGGTTGTTCTAACCACTCTCTTGGTCGCCTGTAGTGCTTCCTTCGTTCTAAATGCTTACAACTTTCTATTCCTGAAACGCTTTGCCATTTACGTGTGGTTCGCCATAGCTCCCCTCATATGGGTGGTCTGTCCGCTTACAGGAGCCGCCTGGGTTACTAAGACTTACCTGAGGTACAAATTGGTGGTGGTGAATGCGTGGGTGGATATACCTGAGGTAGGGTGGTCTGGATCAATTTCAGTATCTGAGCAACTGCACACCTACCCCTCCCCGACCCAAAATTAACCTTAACTCGTTATCAGTTGACTGTTGTAGGGGAGGGGTAGGTGAGCAGTTGCTAAGATTCCAACAGTGATCCGGTGGTCTTTACTACTGTCGCATCGACGTTTCTCAGTGTAAATGATTCATACTTTCATAAATTAGATTTGAAGTTCCCGTTTTACTTAATCAAAACAAACATATAAAAGAACTGAAGTAAAAGAGAAACCAAAACAAAATCATTGCGATTTTCATACCCACGATTTCATTTGTTTAATTTGTCGTTGCTATTTTGTAGGTTTAGTTTCACGACGCACAATCTGATCGCAATTTTACGTTATTTTTGTAATTCAGGACCAGTTTCTTGAACTGAACTAAGAATTTATTGTTTTGCTGAAGTACATAAAAATTACATTAAGATTAGATATTAAAAGGAAAATGAAAAATTCTCTTGAAAAACCACGATAATTGTCCAACCTACAGGAACACGAACTGGAGGCTTCTGCGCATGACTTCCTGCATCAGACCAACTCCGACGGCCGCTCCAGGTCTCCCTCTCCATCCCTGAAGAAGAAATTGGGCTCCACAATAAAACGGTTGGGACAGAAGGAACCAGACCAGAAATCCACCACAAAGAAGAAGGATTCTGTTGGTGTAAATAACCCAGGCTATAAGGTCGACGATACTAAGAAAACTGCTGCCCTAAGTGCTGCTCCAACTGAAACAAAAAGATCAAGTTCAAGGTAATCTTTCTCAAAAGGGCGTGACCTTAGTATGACCGAGAATGGGACGGCATCTGTGCATGCCCGACTCTGGAATTGTGGAGTGCATAAAAACAATCTCGGGTGCATAGCCCTCGTTGTTCTTGACCAGCGGAGGGGATGCAATGGAATATAGTCAAATCCAAAATTTTTATCTGACACCTAATTGGCTGGTTGAACAAGGAGAGGGGAAAACACGATACAAAACAAGTTTCTCTTAGTTTCTTCGAAGTAACTGAAATTAATGGTTTCGGTCAGTGCTTTGAGATTCTTAGTGCTGACCAAATCGTGTTTCGAGAGAACGGGATTGAAGAGAAAACGCATGTAATTTCCATTCGAACCAGACTCGGGGATTTTATCAAATACAGTTCATCAACTGAGGAGCTTTGACCAAACAATTCAGACAATCAATTGTGCTATATCAACACGGTCATTTTGTTTGCCCATATGGTTCATATTTTAGCCTGTCATAATTTTGTTTCTGATATGTCAAGATAGTTTTATTTGTGTACATGCCTCAGGAGATGCGTTTGATTAAGGAAGGGAAGTTTTTGTTGTTTTCTGCTTTCCCGGACTTGACCGCCACACGGGTTTCTGCTCTAAATTCTCATTGGTTCATTACTTTTACCACAATCAGTTTGAAATAGCCCTCTGTAACCATTTAACTCTGGTGAGTGACCAAGACTTGTACCGCCTCCCAGTTAGCTCAATGGATAAAGCGCTGGAGTGTTGTGCGGGAGGTCGAGGGTTCGAATCCCGGCCGGACCAACACTGAAGGTCTTAAAAATAATGGAGAAGAATATGCTACCTCCTGCAGGGTTAGGGGTAGGAGACATTAATTTCCCACGCTATTGTTCTCTCGCCTGTACAATGTACGAATCTTTAAATACAGACAGAATGTATTCCTACTATATCAATGCCACATCAAGCAGACAAGTGACCAGAAAAAAAGAAAAGTATCAATTAGGGGAATATTAGTTGATACATTAACAAATTTTCATAAGATTTATCAATTAGTGGAATATTAGTTGATACATTAACAAATTTTCATAAGATTTATAGAGCAGACAGACAGGCAGAAAGACGGAAAGATTACTAATGAGATTGAAGATTAAGAGGGTTAAAGCTACAGAATAAAACGACCTGTATCTGACAGCTTTTATATTATTTCTTAAGAAAAAACAGCGAAATATCCCTACATTTCTCTGCCGACGAGAAGAGATCAAAGCTCAAAAGAGGATCTTTCCATGGCACAACGCTTTGTAAAACCCCTGAGATTCTGCTGACGGATTGTAATCAAGTCACGGAAAACGTGGTTCCTGCCCAAGAGTTGTCTTTTGGAAAAATGAAAAGATCAAAGAGCGATTCATCTTTAACAGACGTCGAAAAAGTGAACAGATCATTTTTACAACAGGATGTGGTCCAAAGTTCATCAAGTGAAAACGTCGCAAAGGACGCACCCCGGACGCACGTGGTGCGAATCGATATAGAAGGCTCGCAGTCTTCAGAAAATCAAGGTAACCAAACAACTTCCGGTTCCGGTGACGCTTACACGGCTCCCTCTGAATTTCAAACCAGTTTTTCCAGTTCGACGCGAAGCTCTGATGGCGAGCAGTTAAAAGTTCCTGGCCAAAAGGAAAACGCTAGTGGAACGAACAAAACCAAGGATTCTCTACCCAAGACAAACTTTTTGACGGGTATGGCGAAGACTTTTCATCAATGGAGGACAAAAACAAAGAAAAAAAGAAAGTTCAATTATGAAAAGTACATCATATACCTGGAGAGCATTCTGCCCACTGTGGGTTTTTCAATCGGGGGAGTCATAATAACATTTAACGGAATTTATACTTTTATTGTAATTTTGACCTTTTTAGTCGGGGTTTTCGCTCAAGAAGCCTTTTTTGGGAATTGAAAAATGACAGGGAAAAAAAAAACAAAATGTGATTAAAAGGGACCGATATGGGAATGGGTGTAGAGGAAATATTTAGTAGTCGGTTGAGGAAATTATTTTATGAAAATATTTACATTGAGTTAATTTTTATATTTATACCAAAACTTTTAAGGCCAGTTAAATAATGTTGATGAAACAATTGGGTTATGTTTTTTAATATTCTTACTTTTTTAACTTTGAGGGAGCGCAATGTTTATATTGTCATGGTTGCTGTTGTTCTTGTTGTTGTTTTAAGGAGCAATAATTCAATAAGCTATTAGCGAGATGCCAATTGCCTCTGCTTTAAGACCCGGGTTAGTGCAATGCCCATGATGTGGAAATGATTTTTTATTCTTGCACAAATGAAACTAATTTTCTCAAGAAAAGGTTTGCACTTAGCCTCGTTTTGAACGAGAGGGTCTATGGAACTCGGAAATACCGTATTTATGTTGGTGAAACAAAGAAGTTTAATCTCGGTTTGTGCCGCATCTTGAAACGTTAGCTGGTCTACATTTTTCAAGTTCGAGATTTGCAATCCGTTTCAATCTTCTTCTTCCATGGCCATCCTTCTCTCATTCCTGGTTTGTTGTAACCTCAGCTTGTTCTAGGCGTTCGTTTGGAGGAGTTAAAAAACGAGGAGGCTTGGGTCGAGACCTGACCCAGCCCTCCCTCGTTTTTGGTCTGCCATTACTATTGCGCTGTTTATTACTTCGCCGCGTCTAACAGACTGATTCATTACACTGATTTAATATTTTGTAGTCTCATCGAGGGTGAAGGAAGTTTTGATCGTAACAAAAATCTGACGTTTCATTCAAGGATGTCCATAAACATCTTGTATGTGCAAAGTGACATCAATTTTCAATTTTATATACTGTCTAAGAAACATCTATGTTTGCATTTCATATTCAATAATATAAAACGTCATACCTGGGTAATTGTGGTGTATTTGGCGCGATCTGATAAGACAAAAAAGTAATATACGTAAAGGAAATCAAATCACAGGATCTACATAATTTTTTTTAATGAATTGGTTAAATTGGAACGGAATAATTTTGGGATAAAAGTTTAGATAGGTGTAGCTACAACTTAATGTTGCAGTTACTCGCGAAATGTTACCATAAGTAAATAAATTAAGAACAATATTGTATGAAAGGAACGTTGCAGTAACCGTCTGATAATGATGAAAATGTCAAGTGGGTCTTCATTTATGAATTACACAACTATTTAAATACTATTTTGGTAATAAAGCGATCAGAATGGCTGCCATGAAGTTTGTAAAGTTTCCGACTCGTTTGCAAAGGTTTCAGTGAAAGCCGGTTATCAACTGTCTACCTCACGCCTTTAACCCTTTAATCCTTGAGAGTGATTAGAATCCAAATTCTCCTTACAATATCACCCCTAAATCACTCATTAAGGTCATAAGAATAAAGGAAATGATCACCGACGTATGACGCTCTTGATTGTTAAACGAATTCTCTTTGTCAGCATCTTAGGAAGTGCATAGAGAACAGTATGGAGAATATGCAAACTGATGTTAGGGTGTAAAGGGTTGAGACGCCCCACCACCGTCTGTTGAGCCTGCGTGCAGCTGGCTGTCGTGTATAGGTTTCGACTAACGGCAGAGCCGTTTATCACTCCATTAGTAGCCACATATAGAAAAAAGTTATGAGAACCCCATACTCAGCTGAACCTTTACGGGCTTGGCATTTGGTAGCTCTGGCCGC